ATTAGGGGAAGCTGTGTTTGAGGGTGTTGTGAGCCCATGTGAGTGACTAAATGAGAGGAGATCTTAATATGGCTCTCAAGAAAGTGGTCCTGGGTAACAATTGGGAGTTTGTTTAGAGTCAGGAAGTTCCACTCTGCATGAGGAGCAGAGCCATAAGGTTGCCCAGGAAATTAGTGAGAAGGCAACAGGTTGTGGTCACTACCCCAGTATGAAGGAGAGTTCACAGACTGATGAAGTCCTTAGAGGAAACTTGAGTGGTCCCATGGAGGTCAAGTTTAGGACCCTTGAAGTGGTGCCTGGGTTGGTGTGGGAGCACCGTGTGGTAGCTGTTCGCAGGGAGGCAAGGTTATATTTGCTCACATGGTTAAGTCTCTTCTGTGCTTTACTAACTTCCTTGGCAAAGTGTAATTTTAGAAAACTAATGGCAGTTCTCTTCCCCAGACTCCAAGGGACAACATTGTCATCCTCCACCTTCAGCCAGCCATTAATGAGGAACAAATGCATTTTGACATAAGGGGACAAAATTGCATTCCTTGGATTTCATTTAATCTCGGTACACTTTCTCTCCTCCTCCTTCAAGCTGTCTGCTTTTGTGTTATTAGTTGGCTTTGTAAAATACCAGGTGGGAGAAGATCCAGGCATGTGAAATGTCACGACATCAGCCAAGCTTGACAGTTTCCCCCAGAACCTTGTCAGAAATGAAATGTCTAGGGAGGGTTCTGGATACATTCTAAACTTCTTCCAGTATTGGACAGCAGCAGATGCTAGTGTTAGGTGAGCCTTATCTAGGAGAGAATTTTCAGAATAATTACTAAAATGATATCATTTGGCACTTACAACATGACAGCACTTTTTCAAAGCAGATTACATGTACTGACTCATTTAATTCTCACTGTGTCCCTGTGAGGTGCATGCTGTTATCTGCATCTTACTTACGAGGAAGTGAAATAGAGTTTTCTGATCGACCACTGATTAGAAGAACTTCACTTCAATCCAGCCAGTCTGATTTGGAGTCAAGTTCTTAACCAGTTTCTGGTGTTGCCTCATTTATCTATGGTTTATAGCAGGTAAAGAAAAATTCAGGGCTGGGGATGTGGCTCAAGCGGCAGCGCACTCACCTGGCGTGCGTGTGGCCTGGGTTCGATCCTCAGCACCACATACCAACAAAGATGTTGTGTCTGCTGAAAACAAAAAAATAAATATTAAAAATATTCTCTCTCTCTCTCCCCCCCTCTATCTCTCACTCTCTCTTTAAAAAAAAAAAAGAATTCAAAGGGGTTTCCATCACAGACTTTACGGTCCAAAGCCCTAAAATGTGTTGTCGGGGCTCAACTGTGACAAAGTTTGATAGGAAGCAAAACATTAGTTCACTTACAATACAGGGTTTAAGAAAGTTGCTAGTGGTAGGAAAACTGGATGTGTAGGTTGTTGAGAGAAGATGAGAGCTGGAAGCAAGAGGAGGTTGGGTGGGTGAGGATATTATGTGGTGGCTAGTCTGTCTGGCTTAGCTGGTCATCCTGGAGATGAAGTGAAATAGTACATGGATTAATTTTGGATCTATTTAAATGATACCTCCTGTTGTATGTCCATGGTGTGACTCCTGGAAGTCAGGAAGTTTGGTGGGAGCCCAGTGATTCAGGAAGAAGCACTGTGTAGGTTGGCATCAGAGGGCATCGATGAGAACCTGGGAGATGGACAAGGAGCAGACACTGATGGATTTTGAAACAAGTGGTACAACTGGTGAGCTCAACGTCAGGGGAGCTCATGGATGTGGGGAGCGAGGACTGGCTCCTTCTCTGAATTCTTTTTCCCACTTGGCATCTGGGCTATCACAAGGTCCTAGTTTTGGTGCCTCCTTCCCACTGAAGAAGACTGGAGCTCTCTGCCATTAGGTTCACTGTTATCTCAAAAGGATGGTTAAGGAGAGCTCATTCAACTCCTGCACCCCCAGACCCCATTACAGGATATGAAGGACCATCATGTTTCATGGTTCTACCTTCCTTCTTAACTGTTATGTTCATAGCAAAATATTTGCTAATTGCAACCTTTATAGATCACTTAGGTGAACCTGGAAATTAAAGAAAGATTAGACCCCCTTAATTTGTGGATAAGCATTTGGTATGGTCATCTCCTAAATGCTTAAATTCTTTCCTGTCTTTGTACAGCTAATTCTCTTTGCTGAAATGCTTATTTTTACTCTTATCCAGGGTTATCATTTATTTACAAATTGACATAACTTTTCAAATGACATGTTATTTCACTAAATATGATGATCCTCAATGCAAAATAATCCCCAAGTCCCACCACATAGAGATAACCACTTGGAACATCTTGTTGAAGATTGCTCCAATCACTTCTCTTACATATAAAGACTCCTAAATTCTATAATTTGCATGCAGGAGCTTATGCCGTGTATAATTTCCCAGGACTCGTTCTTCACTTTGCAATATGTTATGGGCAGACTTTCTTCTAAACTCATTTCCCTTCCACACATCTATAATATCTGCCTTATGCTCTCTTATTATAATTACTGTGGGTACTTAGCCACCCCCTTGTTTATTGTTTATTGATGAAAAAGAGTCTTAGAACCAACTGAGATCTTCAGACTCTGCTAACTCAGATGTTAAGGCTTTGCTGTCCCATCCATAGGATTTTTGACTTGGAGCTCCTCAGCACTGGGTAGTAGAGAGAGCATGAAGCTGACGTGTGGGGAGAATTAGGCCCTGTTCCAAGCTCTTTCACTTAGCAACTATGTGACCTTAAAATCACTTTACCTTTCTGAACCTCAGTTGGCTGATCTGTAAAATGATATAGGGATGCCTGATGCTTGAGGTCAATGCTACCAAATACTATTCTGTCAAACTAGATCTCTCATCACCTCTTAAATGCTCATGTCAGCTTTATTCCTTAGTCCTCTCCAGTGTCCATTGCAAGATCGATACAAAGTTGTGAATGATGGACTGATGCAGCCACTGAATCCATCATCTCAGCCTTCCCCCAGGACTGCCCAACCCTGAGGTTTCATATTGGCTTGATTTTAACCCAGAGAACCTCAGGCCTTTTAACCTGCCTGCTGTCTCACTTTAGAAGGTGCATTTATATCTACATTTTAAAACGTCTTAAGTGTGTGAGTGTGAAAGATAGGGAGAGAGGTGTATATGGATATGTGAATGTACATACATATAGTCTACCTATATATCTGTGTATATGTAGATGTGTATATTATTTTTAGATGAGTACAATTGAAATCTAGGAATGGATTACTATTATTTGCCCTGAAATGAAATTTTTAAATAAGAAAATGAGATTAATTTTTTTTTCACTCCCTCTTCCAGAGTTGCAGTGAGATTAAATGGGTATGGGCTCATGGGTCTCTGTGTCTTTGAGGTGGGTCAAGAGCAGTGTCCTGGGATCTAAAGCAGCTCCTTGCTTCCAGCCATTGTTTTCTTTCCTTCCCTCCCTCCTTCCCATCCTTCAATTCTTCATTTCCTTCCTTCTTTCCCTTTCTTCTCTTATTTGCCTTCCTTTTCTTCCTCTACAGAAGTGAATTGAAGAGGAATGCTGTTCTCTCTAGTTTGGTCAGTGGTGACTTTTATCACTGTTTCATATAAAAACGAGCAGCAATCCTCTTTGTTCAGCTGCTGAAATCTAAATATGAGGTGGTCTCTGAGGATAAGCTAGGACTGTGTTATATTCATGTGTTAAAGAAACCTGTCGATCCACAGGGGAGGTGACAAAAACTAAGTTATTTCACTCAACTTGTGCCTGGGATGAAACTTCTTTGAAAATGTCATTTAAGAAAACAT